AGTACCATGTCGTCTTAAGTATTATTGTTTTTATGATATTTATTAGCATTATTTGGTTTATGCCAGGGATGGTTTGAAAACTTGCTTTTTTGGCTAGTTCCAAAATGAGCCAGGGAAAGTAGATGGCTTAGTAACTCACTTGAGCAAGTTATATGTCACAACTTTGAAACTCAATGTTACCTAACAAGGGAGAAGTGTATTGTGTATACACACACGCGCTATACAATGAAGAAGGGACAAGAATATGATCTGACAAAAGAATAGGACTGGTCTTTGAAAGGTGATAGCCCGGAACTGGACGCCAGCGAGTCTGTTGGTGGTTGTTAATGTTATTTCTATGTGGCATTTGCTTTTTGTTATTTACAACCATCTTTTAGTAGTTACTGAATGTCATATATTCTCTAGCACATAGTTTTTTTACACCAGCTTCATTTAGGATTTTGTCTTGCTTTCAGAAAACAAAAGGCATAGATTATGCACTCAAACAATTAGCCCAAAGCAATCCTATGGACTTTGGGGGGGGGGGGGGGGGTTGCTAGATGTATTTCTCTCTGCTATTGTGCTATCGGAGATCAGTTTTATGAGTTGCTAGATCGTATAAATGTGGATACTGCAAGCATGTCTTTGCTGGAAATATTCAATATGGAATACAAATGAGGCATTTTTTATTTGCATAATTAACTTGTAGAAGGGAGAAAAACTATTGCAAACTTTGGAGCTTGTGCAGCTCTGTAAAGAAAAGTGTTATATATACAAATATCACTTGATATATTATTTTGATTTTCTAGATTTACTTTGGTATTGAAGTTTAATAAGAATTCACAAATAATTACTTCTAATCTACTATCCAGGAAATGAACCCTTTATTCTAAGGAAAAAATTGGCGAAACTTTGTGTGGAAGCATAAATAGATACTAAGAAACAAGATTCTCTTCTGCTGTAGAGAATTGCTGGTTACAGACTGTTCCTACTCCTTGCACCTAAAATATGTTACAGAGGTTGTTAGTGAGAGTACCATGCCGTCTTAAGTATTATTGTTTTTTTGTCATTTATTAGCGTTATTTGGTTTATGCTTCTTAAGTAGGTCTAGATATATAACGATTGAGAGCTTAAAATTACTATTGTCTTTATGGTCAAATATAGCAGAATGATTAGATTTACCTAAAGAGGAAATCAAGAAGCTATTTGCGGAAGAAACATCTGTCAAGCTTTAATGGGAGACAAAGCATCTAGTTACATGGCTTTACTTTGGTGTTTTTTCACTATTATTGGGAGGTGGAATGTAAGGATATTGTGGACTGTATGCGGTGGGGGAGCTAGAAATTCAGCAAGGAGATTCAAAAAATACTAGAGTGTCCCACCTAGAATATGAACATGTGTTCGAAAGCAACTTTTGAACCCCCTTTGGCACTACACTAGAGTCTTCTCTCATTTTAAGGGGATTCAACCGTTCAAATATGACCAAGAAAATTCGATTTTGTCCTATTTGCTAAGTTGCTCGGACTCGGGTGCGGGTGTCCGATATGGGTGCGGATCTAGAGGTCAGATCCTTCATGATCTAAAGTTAAAGATTCGGGGGTACGGATCCAGGTACGGATACGGGTGCGGAGATTCGGCTAAAAATAATTCAATTATTTAAAAATAGAGTTATATATGTCTAAATTATGAGACATTATGTGGAAAACTTACAAGGTATTCCGAGAAGGAGAAAATATTGAACAAGAATAGAATTTTAGAAGGAGATAAAAGGAAAAAGACTGACAAAGAATTTTATATATACAAGGTATTCCATTTTCTTCCATATCACCCTAGCTTTTGTTTTGTTTTCAAAAATCATTGTATCTGTCCCAAATTTCTCTGATAATTTTGGTCAAAGTACCCAAAATCGTTTGACCAGATCCGACACGGATCCTACACCCATACCCACACCCACGTCGTGTCGACACGGGTGCGGCACTGAAAGTGAAGAGTCCGAGCAACTTAGCCTATTTGTATAGTACAATTTTTCGGCAAAGGGGATTAAGTTGAACCCCTTTCCTCCCTTTAGCTCCATCCCACTGTATGAGTCACTTGAATGAAAGTGGTGATTTGGAGGAAGAATATTACCCTTTTTTTTTTCATAATCACGATCCTTGAGAGAAATGTTGTTTTGGACATCAAGAACTTCAGACCGTTTGAGGGGCAATGCATGCAAAATCATTGCATAAACATTATCTGTCAGAGTGAGACGTGTTTTAAACAAGCTTATTAATATCTCAGAAATTGTCTTTGTTGGGAGGTGGGAGGTAGACCCTAGATGTTGTTCTTATTACTAATGAGGTTGTGAACTCAAGACTGAGTAGTGGAAAACAGAGAATTCTATTCAAATTGGATATAGACAGGGCGCTGAATTATGTGAAATAGAATTTCTTGTCGTACATATGACTACTTTTTTAGTGAAAATTATGTCCGATAAAAGAATTTGAAGAGAAACTGTGCGAAAAAATGTTTCTCTGTGCTCATCACCTTTCGTCCACCTTTTTTGGTTTTACGTGTCTACATCAGAGGCCCTTGCTTCTCTACATCCATGTCTCATTTTTTTGAAAGAACATAAACATTTTATGAACCAGTAAAAACTTTTAGCATCTACTGTTTAGAGAATATGCTGTAGAGATGCAGTACAAATACCCCCCTCCCCCCTCTCTCTCTCTCACCACTCTATTTCTGGTTAAGAGTTATAAACATTTCTTTTTACGCTAGGACACCTTTGTTGAGGAGGTTAATAACCTTTTGTTGGTTTGTGGTGGGTGGGGGGGTTAGATGTGGCTGGCTTACAATAACAACAACAAACGCAGTTCAATACCACAAGTGGGGTCTGAGAAGGGTAGTGTATACGCAGACCTTACTCGTACCTTGTGGAGGTAGAGAGGATGTTTCCGGTAGACCCTCCGCTCATGTAAAGCATAGTCACAGCTTAGTAAAGAAATACAGTATAGGGAAAGTCACGGAAAACAGAAAAAGTAGTAACAAGAAGCAGTAACAACATCATGATAATAAGATAACCGAAGCAAAAGAGCTGGCTTGTAGATTGATATTTATTCTGGAACATGAAAAGGAAATGATTGAGGGACTATACATGTTATGAGGAACATTGATGCATACAGTCTAATTAGTTTTTTTTTAAAACAGGTGTCAGAGAAGTTCTAATTGTCCAATGTGTTGGCAGTCCATAAGTCTGAAAGATCAGATGAGGTTCGTTTGGCTTCTTTTTTTCAGTCCATATTTTTCATGATCCTGATTCAGGGTATAGCCTTTACTTGTCTTTAATTGACTTCCCTCTTTCAGTCAAGAATTGTTTGAGGCTGTGGAACAAGAAAGGAACTTTAGAGTTAATGCAGAAAGAAATGCTACACTATTGCACCTTCCTGCGCTTGGAGATTTTGGATTACAGCATGTATGTGGCCATCTTAAAGGATAAGCATTTTTCACCTGTCATTTGATTTATGAAGTTTCACAAGCTAGCGCGTTGCATTTACCTCTTTCATTGCACTGCAGTTACCTGTGGATATTGATGATCCTGAACTTGAAGAGCGCATTCTTCAGCATTTGGCTGCTGCTGTTTCAATGGGAAGGGCTCACCATGCGGGTCGAAGGGAGGGCTCAAGAAATCGCTCATCCACCAATGACCGCCCACAATTTTTTCATCCTTATTCCTCTCCTACCGCTTCTGTTTCACCTTCTTCTGCGGGATCAAATTCTGATCCTGCTGCAGCCACAATACCTGATTCTTCTCTTTCCATTACCCCCGGTAACAGTGAATCAGCACGACATATGCCTCATCTTTCATCAGTTCAAAGTAATCAACTTTCTGCTTCATCATCTCGATCTGTTCTGAACCCAGCCACAGTAAAAGGAATATCTATTGGTGATAGGTAGTAATGGTTTTCAACATATTTTCAATTTTATGCAAACACCGCTTTATCTTAAATTGGTTTATATGATGTGCTAGATTGGTTAACACATGCAGAATTTTTTTTAAATCAGCTTTCATTTGTTTTTGGGTTTTCTGTCTTTCTAGACACTCTTCTAGTTCGTCTTTGACACCAAGCCAAGGGAGAGCTGGACCATCAGACCTCCAGTCACTATCAGAGTCCTGGAAATCTCGATTTAATTCTCTATCAATGAAGTATGAAATTATGATTGACTTCACTCAAATTTATTTGTTCTTAATCTTAGCAGTTGTGCTTGTTTTGTGTTTCTTGTCTTTGTAAGCCACATTATATATGGTCTTATTTTCCAGATATAAAGAATCAATCTCAAAGAATACACGAGGGTGGAAGGAGAGATTGTTTTCTCGAAGCTCTTCAATGCCAGATGTTGGTTCTGGTAGGAGCGAGGCGAATGCTGGAATTGCTAGTCTATCTCGCCTGATGGAACGCCTTGAAACTCGAGAAAATAGTAGAGTTGGTTCTGTTGCAGTTACTAATATAGTGGATTCTTCACACACACTCCAGAGAGACCATGGTAATATGAGTACTCATCTTGGAAATGGATTGAACAGAAACTCAACAGCTTCTGCTGCAAGTTCAGCTCGGAATTAAGTCATCTATTTAAGCATTTACCTGGCATCTGTCCTCAGCATTTCATCTTTGAATGTAAGTCATTGCTTCTGTAAAGGGACATTTTCTTTTCCTTCCATGTCTTTCTTTCCTTTTTTGTGATTTTCCTTGTTTATAGCTTTAAAAGTGCTGTTTCGTTATTACTTTTGGTGATGTTAAAAATGGGGTCACTGTCATTGTCGCTATTGTTCTCACTGAATAAAAGGTCAAGAAGATACATGATCATACACTTCGCTTATTTGACTGAATGTTACTTTGGTAGTAGTGCGTGAAAAAATTCTGTTGGTATTTTCAAATGGAGACCAATTAACTGAACCAACTCCATTTGGTTTTAGAACTTTTCAATATTAACTCTTTCAAAACAGAAAGTAACTTTGTTTGATTTGAAAATTCATCTTGTTTTCGAAAAACAACCCAAATAGTTGTCCTGATGCCAATAATATATATTTTTATTTTCTGAAACAACTACTTATTCCAGGACAATCCAGATATAAATGTTCCAATTTTCCTAAATTTTTTTAGTGGTTGCATCATTAATTAATTACTGCCTGATTGGTAGTTTGGCAGATCTATAGTTGCCCCACGAAAAATGTAGGAGAAATTCAAATGTGAAACAATACATTAGCTCTAGTACATTTCTGACTCTTTTTTTCACTATTCTGTCTTAATTTTTTACCTTGTGTCTGGGAACTTAAGCCGGAATGGTGTCTTAGAATCCAAGTCTCAAGTAGGAATGGTGTCCTAAGTCAGAAAATTAGAGTTTTCTACTCTTTTGTGTACCACTTGTATACTGAGATTTCCTCTCTCCTCATGAATACATTATCTTAAAAATATATTTAGATAACGTCACCTACCTGGACCCCCATCATCACAAGGAGGATAGATACTTCCTGCCTTCTTGGAAAACTAGGGATTGCTAACTTGGCAACTTGCCTACACTTGTGGTTTGTCACTCGCCCTGCATCGAGTACAGCAAGTGAAACTAAGGATTGCTAATCATCCTACTTCTTGCTTTGTCCCTTGTCCTATATTGAGTGGAGCAGTTCTTGCCATTGGCACCTCTTTGCCTTTGTTGCTGATCGAAGGTCTCTTTTGGTTGCTTAAAGGCAAACCCCTAAAAGAATCTAGTATGTAGTATAAACTTGCATAAGAAATGGACCTTTTCACTCTTATTCTGCTCATGTGTTATGTGATGTTCGCTTGATTTAAGGGATTCTTTTTTCATTTGCAGGTTATTAACTTGCCGGGGTTCAAATATGACATGCTGAGGACGAGATCTCTTCCTTCAGTCTTTCCAAAGGAGCAATAGCAGTTGCAACATGAATGTGATTTGCCTGTATATTTGTTTATATACGTTAACGTGAATCGAATGTTGAAACATATCACTAGAATCTGGTAGAGATCCTTGTGTTGGATATTTACAAGATACAACGTGATATATTGNGAGATGTGGACAAGCAAAATAGCTGCATTTGTTCTCGGGCTTTATTTTCATCTGATTCACATTACATTGGGTTAGCCTTTGCGTCTACCTGTTACACTTTCCCCGTTGAATATACTTTTAATTGGAATTGTTTCGTTATGTATTATTTTTTCTTCTTCTATTGTTTCTATGTATATCATAAATACTATATCATTGAATTTATGGAAAAAATAGTACGGGCTAGCCAGTTTTTGGGCTGGTAATTGAAAAATAGCCAGTGTTTGCAAAGTCATTGAAAAATAGTCATTATTTTGCTGTAACACGGAAAGTTCTAACATAATATAATGGAGATTTGTGCACCTATATATGAATTTCCATCATATTATGCTGAAACTCTAGCATACGAAAAATTTCAGTATAATATACTGGAGATTGGAGTACCTGCATGAACTTTCAGATTCAAGAGTGGGAAAAGACATTTGGAAAGAAAAGAGTGGAACTCTTACGTTTCAATTTAGGAGAGGACACATTTTATAAAAAAAACTAAATGTGTACATTCGTCAAATGATGGAGGATCAGAAGTCTAATTCGGTGTTTTGCAGTCCAGTGAAGATTTGTGTTTTTCCCATTCAGTTCAGAAAGTGTACGCACTCGATTAATCCGAAACTGAACTTAAAAAATCCGATCCAATCTTAGCTTATTTGGATTGGATTTAAATTGTCATTTCTTCAAACCAAAATTTTTATATTCAATCCGAACTGTCCGAACGCCCACCCAGCAATACATATCTTTGAGATGCCATCTCGAATTTTCCCAGTTGTTGTGACAAGGTGCTAGACTAGTTTACCTGAGTTGTGGTGTTAGGTACGCAAACGACGCGGATGGAGTATATAGATTCAATTGAACCCAATAGTTTTACACATGAAAATAAATGTGGAACTTCGCAACTATTGTTGGTAACAATTGAACTTGTAAACCTTACGGAAATCTACACGGTACAGCCGTCCCAAAAAATAAGAGCAAAATTTATTTATAGTCCATCGGTCCAAACATATATCACCCAGTAATTCAAAAATTATAATATATACGTATTTTATAGTCCAAAAGTAATTCCAGTGACTAGTCAAAAGTAATTAACTAAGAGGCTCAATCTGCTATCCCTATCCCTATCCTTGTCCCTTTCTCTTCTATCATCTCGATCCCTCTCTCGCCTCCTGTCACGCCTATTCCTATCAAAATCTTCTTCCTCATCCTTCCCCCTCTTATTCACTTAAAACCAATTGCACATCGAAATTCAGATAATCAGCGCCTTTGAATCGAATACACTTCCGGCCACAAAGCCATTAACTAGTACTAAAGTTAGACTCTATGTAAGGAAGTTGAGTGAACAATTTTCCGAATGTGGTACTGGATTAATTGAGATATAACCAGTTGTTGAGAAGAATTTGTGCTATAAAGGCAAAGAAATAAGTGGAAGAGAAATAAGGCAAAGAACAGCATCTTTATCGAGATACAGAGTAAAATGGCTAGTCAAATTAAAACTCCCCGTCAACCATTTTCCGGCGGGTACATACAGCAGCGAACCACCGTCATTGAAACTGACTCAAGTGATCAACGGCCATTTTAAAGGCTTTAGTGTTCAACGTCGTTCCGTCACCAACTCCACCAAAATCCGTCAACGAAGCGGTGTGTGCTCTGCAACTTATGGCGGAGTATTCTATTGTTTCCCATTTTTGTACTTTATGTCGGCCGTGAACGTTGCCTAACGCTGTTAGAATCACCACGGCTAGTAGTAAAATCCTGTGAATTGCCTATAGGAAGAAATTTAACAAAATGAGAAAAAAAGGAAAGGGAAAATAAAAGGGAAAGAAAGGAAAATGGGAAGAGAGAGGCTGTCATTATACAGACTATCATTGTATAAAAAATATACAAAATAAATTGTCATTATAGAATAAACTGTTATTATACAAAATAAACTGTCACTATACAAAAAATATAAAATATAGACTGTCACTATACAATTTATATACAATAGATTGTCACTATACAAAATAGACTGTCACTATACAAAAGTATACTAAATAGACTACCACTATACAATTTATATACACTAAGTGGTATTGCATGTATATATAGTGGACCCAACATATAAATTTTTTTTAAAAAGAAAATTAAATAGATATTAGAGACAAAAGGATGTTAACAAAAATATCTAAGGCAATACTTTGTAAATTTTATTATAGAATTGTGACCTAAATTTTATTTAACATCCTAAATTTTAATATTCAATATTTAATATCGAATATATATAGTATATAATATGTATATATAGTATATCGNTAGCCCGCTTGGCACGCGGTCCCTGGCTGGTCCCGGGCCTGGACCGGCCCACTTGCCACCTTTATGTTGGAACTTTCCGTATACTGCAGTTTTAGCACAATATGCTGGAAGTTCATACACATGTGCACCAATCTCCAATATATTATGCTGGAACTTTTCGTGTTGCAGTAAAATAATGGCTATTTTTCAATAAAAACGTTGACTATTTTTTAATTACTAATGCGAAAACTGATTAGTCTATGCTATTTTCACGAAAGAAACACGTAAGAATAAGCAATACCTAATTCTTTGATCAGATGTGGCTTTGAAATTTTAAGCAAAATTTAAGCCTTATCAACCCTACAAAAATAGGTTTTTCGCGGAAAATAAAAGAGAAGAAAGAGAATCTTCCTATAAAGAAAACGACAAATTCCTACTAAAGGTATAAAATCATGAGTGGACAGAGATATTCCAACTATAAAACAAAAAACAAACCCGTGTTTTGATGGTAAGTAGGAATACATATTGGAAAAAAAAGAAGAGATGTGGTTGATATTTCACTTGTTCGTTGGAATTCATAACATCAAGTTTAAAGAAAACTATTAAAATGAAGTTGCTAATGGAATTTATTAAAAACCATGCACTTGTTTGGAATAGAAAAGAAAGATGAGCCTAATTTTTGCAAATATAATTATTTTTTTTAATTTGGTATCCAATATTCGAAGTGGAAATGACATCAGATAGTCACTTTTAAGCATGTTGTTTAAAATATATTCACAGTTTATAATGTATTTAAAGATTAACCAATTTCGCTCAAATTTCAGAACACAGGTTCTCGAGATTAAACCTCAAAGTTCAAACTTCAGGACATCGTGTCTTAAAAATCGAAAATTGTGTCCAAAAGTTCGAATCTTATATTTTGAATTTTAAATTAGTAGTTCAGAAATTCAGGACACTTAGTCCTGAATTTCAAATTAGAAGCTCAAAAGTTCAGGACACTAAGTCCTGAATTTGGAAATTCGGGATACTTAGTTCTGTTGTTTGGGTAAATTTGGCTAATCTTTAAATAAATTATAAATTGTGAATATATTTTAAATAGCGGGCTTAAAAGTAATTATTGCTGCACTTCGCCCGTATTCGCATTAAAGTTACGACTAATTCGAATCCGCATAGGGTAAGGTTCATTAAAGAGAGAAACATTTCCTGCCAGAATGTTTTGGATTCATAAATCTTTGGCGGAGAAATCCTATCCGTCCTAGCACTAACTCATGGTAGTTACCATTATTACATACTATTAGATTACTTCTAAAATAGCTCATATTCATGCATTTATAAATAGAAATGAATAGTGAAGGAATCATAAAGTCACATCTATATAATTGATTTTGATCCCTCACTCTCTCCTTTTCTTTTTTTTTCAATCAATAGGAGTATCAAATTTTATTTTCACTATTTTTCATTATAAATTTTACTTGTCAAATGTCAAAGTCAAAAATAGAAATTGTAATGTGTCGGCTAGAAGGCTAAAATATCACTCATTTTTATAATTCCTTTTGTTTTCCTATATAAGTTATTGCTTGTATGTTATGATGTCAAACTCAAATAATAAGTAAGATGTCATACCTATGAATTTTTTATATTTTACTTTTGGTCCCGAATTACAATATTATGGCGAGCAATTATTTTTCATATGTAGTAAGTATAGCTGTAGAAGTATCCCACTTGGCCAAAAATTAATGACTTGTATAGAATAACTAGCGAGTCAAATTCTTACACATTTTTTATAACCATTATCGTTAATGGTAAGTAGTGATATACGTATTTTTTATTTTTTATTTTTATTTTGTGTTGGCAATGTCAATTCTTGGACCTTTTTATAAATTAATAATCAATAACCGAGTACAACCCACTGGCAGTGCAAATAGATATTTGTTATACACAGGGAAATCGAACCCACGATTTCAATATCATGAGATCTCTGCATTTACTATGGGCATAAGTGTCAACGATAATTATTGGATTATTTAAAAGTTGAATATATTTATTTTTACTTCGGAAATTGTTCAATGAGAAAAGGGCAAGAGAGATAGTGAGAATCGAACTTTGTTAAAAAAATAATTACTCTATCACTGGCTATAAAGATTGGTAAGTTGAGTATGTCATTTGGCTGAAAATATATGTATTGATCTATTTTCTAACTACTTGTCTAGTTTAAATTGAATGAACTTTTCTGAGATATAATCACAGATAATTATTCATTCATGAAAGAAAATTTCAATGAATATTTAGAAGCCTACTCAATTTGAATTGAATATTATTGAACGTAGTTAATTACTGATTAGGATTTTCTTTTAAGTAGTAAAGCAATGAGAGTATGTCATCGTGCTACTTTGACAAGTACGCCAAAGATAATAAATATGTTATGAAATTAGAGGAATAAAAACACATACCTTTTACATGAAACATCAAAACTAATGATTCTTTTTATCTGTTTATCTTGGCCTAAACATATTGAGTTGGACCCATTAACATGTAGTGACATGAAAAGTGGCCAATTCAATATCAATTAAAGTTTAATATTTTCTCTTTGCCGTCCAAAAATCCAAAATATCATTCATAAAAAGAAGTTAAAAGACAAAGTTCTCCTAACCCACAACCAGTGGCGGAGCCACATGCACTTAAGGGGTGTCTATTGACACCC